AAAAGTGGGGGTCGTCTTGTACATGGGGGCGTCTTATTGTCGGAAAAATACGGTACATTCTATTAGTGATGGAGTCAGATGATCCTTAGGGGGTGGGATGAGCCCTACACTTTTCTGCAGTAGAGCTAAACCTGTGTCCAAAGGGAATCTAACTTTCAGCTGACAGGACTAGCCACCAAGCCAATCATGCCCCCTTCTCCAGCCCTCTCCCAACTCAAGGAGAAAGACTAATGGATGATCTCCTGACAGCTGATGAATTTGTTTGGGAGGGGATTTATGAAACCTTATCTAATGTGTTCTGGGTACCTGGCAATGTGCCTTTGGTGGAATAAGGACTGCTGGTGGAGCCATCAAATTTTGAGCCACTGTTCTTTCTGCTGGCTCAAGGATTAATATATAGAATTTTAACTCAGTGGTGAAAAGGTGCCACTAATGTGTTTTTTACTTTGTGCTCTGCCTTATATCTCATTTCTTAAGGAAATGTATGAAATCTGAAATCTGACACCAGAAAAACTCTGGTATTATTCTTTCCAGGCTTTTCCTAAGAATCTGCTAGGTTTACCATAATGAGCAAATAAAAGTCTATTTTTGAGATTATTTTTAATCAAATAGCTGAAGGCTCAGTACTGCTAAATTCAACTGATTCGCAAGTAGAGAGGGATAGAAAAGAGCAAAAAATTAAAGATTTAGTATTCTAGTTCTTAAACTTCAGAGCTTCAGAAAAGTTTTCTGAACCTTCTTAAAGACAGAGGAATTGTCAAGACATGCTTTCTTGGTAAAGTAATATAGCCACCAATATTGGGGAAGGAAACGTAACTGGTTAAATATAGTTCTGCACTCCAAAGGTCCCAAGTTCAGTCTTTGGCATTTCCAGCAGAAAGAATCTTAGCTAGTAGTCCAGTTTTTTTTTTTTTAATTATCATTCCAGTTTTCAAAGAGCTCTGTGCTACGTCCAGTAACAGGGTAAATAGAAGCGATCCTGGATTCATGAAGTAGAAAATATATATTAGTCTAGCAGAGCTGAATATGGCAGGCAATTGAACAAAGCCGAATCAGGCAGGCAGTTTATTATAGCAAAAATGTTTCCTGCCCCATTTCACTTCTTTTCCTAGTCACTCCTGGAGGCCAACTATTAGTATGATTCTTGTAGGATATTCTCTTTGATGCCATATTCTTAATTTCTGCTTAATGGCACATACCATTCATCGCATAAGACACATCCAGTGCAAGCTTTCTATCAATTCTGACAAACTGAAGATTCTGAAGCCTAAAATATAGGACCACTTGCTTTGAAGATACCATTAACAAAAGTTTGCCCAAATCTCTTTTGGGTATGTAACATAAAATCTTCCCCAGAATGCCAAAGACTGAACAGAACTTCACATTTCAATAAATTCATCTTTAAATAACCTTCCATCTCTACTCTATTAGATTAGTCTATTGGACTGGTTAACTTCATCCCAGAGCCTAAGTTGCCAGTTGGTTGGATCCTAGGAAATCTTGTTCTTCAATTAGATTTATATTCATTCCAACCTGACTTTTGGAGTGCTGGTGGAAGGGAAACAGCCTTGTTCACTTTGGGAGATGATTCCAGTTGGAGATTGGAAGAGATGGCAAGAAAGCCATTGTTTTTCTGGACCTTTAAGTGGAATTCAGTACTATCTGTAATGAAATACCTCTTTAGACTAGAACTGGGAATTATGATGTTCATAACAGCTCCATTCCTTTTTGGACGGAAAGGTGTGATATTCTCAGGGCCATTAGACTACAGTACAAGGTAACTTTTCCAAGTACTTTTTAATGTTTGTGGAAACCACTGAGAAAAATCATCCAGTGATTTTGGCTAAAAGGTCATCAGTAAATGGATGATATATAGTTCTTACTTTCTTTTCTTCCGCAGGGAAGCTATGCAGAAGCTGTGGTTGAGGGCACATAAGTAAAATCTTGTGGGTTGACAAGACCACCATTTTTGATGCAAGCTTTCACATAATATAAATCTTACCCACAGAAGTTGGTTTTGGCCCAGCGCCATATAATTTCTTCTGAGTATGAGGGTGATGCTTTCAATTATTATGTGATGATGAGGTACCTTTTTCCTCCTGTGTACTTCTCTG